AGAGAGTGTTTATTTCTGTGCTGTGAAGAGTCATAAAACCAGAAGCTGCAGTGCCACAGGGGATAGCAGTGGGAAGGACTGAGGACCTGCAGCAGCCACTTGTACTGCAGGAGAACCACCCTGCAGTATTAACTATCTCCTCCCAGGAGAGTGACATGGCAGTGAAAAATATATTTATTCTAATAATTCTCTGCTACAATTTGAAGTTCTAATTATTAAAAAACAAAAGGGAATAAAAAAGGCTGTTAAATTTATTTGAGATTACAGCTGTTTCCTTCTAGTTTTTATTCTCAGTATACACAAACTAGGGCAGCAAAAAAACATTGAAATCCTCACATGCTTTCTGGATAGCAATCGTCTCTCTTTCCAACCAGTGGCAGGATGGATTGAGCCTGATTATGTCCAGATCAGGAAATTTAGTGAGGATGTTCAAATGCTGAGCCATTATTCTGCTCCATAGCTCTGGCATCTCACACATGCAAAAGTACATTTTCCAAGCCCCCATGGCACTGCTTGCTATAAACATGTTCTGACATAAGAAGGCAGAGGGTGCGCTGGGCCTATGGAATAATTTGTAGCGTGACAGAGAATGTGGCTGTGGCACTTGTCCTGATGGCAATTTTTAAAATTGCTAATACTCAGTGATTTGTGGATGCATTGTTTGTGTTCAGGGAAAAGCATCTAGGCTGCTCTTAACATAACACTTAAAGTAAGTATTGTCTGTTCAGATTTTTGTGCCTCAGATATTTTGATGGCATGCAGACTTGGCGTCCTGCTAAATAAAGACATTGAGTCTTTATAGTTTTATCTCTTCAGCCCATCTGGTTTGAAGTAGTTGACAACAAGCAGGAAAGGGAATAGAATGAAAGACTCACTTCACATTTGCTGAAATAAAAGAAATGTGCAAGGCAGTGCTCAAACAGAACCAGCCTGGGAGAAGGGCTGCCTCTTCCCACCCCTCCTCTGCCCTTTCCAGATGATGGCTTTGCCTGCAGCCCCTCCACTCTCATGCTGGTTCTTGCTGCCCACAGCTGGAGCTCACACCCCAGACAAAGGGCAGCTGAAGCAGCCAGGCCAGAGCACCATGCGAAGGGGAACCATTGCCCCCTGGAACAAGGAACAGTGGGAGCACGAAGCAAGTGGAGCAAAACACAAATGCCCATCATCCAAGCTAAAACCAATGACAAAAACAATAGTGCTAACATCTCACACCAAGGTGCCTCTGTAAGTTTTACATGTTGTTTATTCAGTTTTTCACTTCTAAGCCCAAGGACATCAGTCTGAGTCCCTGGGCACCAGTGCAGTCACTCCTGTGAAGGCAGGCACTGAACATAGCAGTGGCACCTGAGGTGTCCTGCCCTGCCCACTGAAGCACCCGCTGGTTGCCAGCAGGAGCGCCAGGGAGGAGGAGTACACTGCAGGAAAACATTCCCTTTCCTTCTCCACCTCCCAGAGACCACTAAGAGCTGTTCAGAGGTGTAGAACCCAGGCTGGAGTGGACGTCCCAGGGCACTCACTCTCACAGTGTCCCTCTCACAGACGGGATGAGGGCTGTCCTTTGCAGCTCCAGTTGCACTGGGAGCAGGAGAGAGAAGCTGCTCTACAGCCTGGCAGGATGTCACAACATGGAGCAGCGAGCCTTGAAAATGTGTAGGGCCTCTTCTATCTATGCTGCTCCATCTCCTTATAGAATTAGGTCCTAAATGAGACTTTTCTGGCTCTTGTTCTAAATCACTTTGTTACTAGTTCAAATTTATAATTTTAGCCTAAGTAGAAGTGAGTGATTTATTGTAATTATTTTGTATAGGCTGCTCTTAATAAACTTTTTTTTTCTTTTTAATCTGGAAAAACATTTAATTTCCCATATGGAAAGAACACATTTATCATACTTTACTTGGATATACTTGGCCAACTATTGCACATATATGCAAAACATATGTGACAAATTCAAGGCTGAATTTCATAAAACAGAAATGCTGCGAAATGTGATATAATAAATATATTACACAGACATATGTGGCCAATTTATAAAACTATGGTATCTTTAGTAAATTTATAATAGGTCATTTCTATTAATGGGGGGAATGAGGGTGTGCTTTCTGGCACATGCAACACACATAATACTTTGCACAGCCCTCCTGAAGGACAGTGGGCTTTTGGAGAGCAGACTTTTACATGTACATACATTGTGTATATGGGACATGTCTGTGTTTTTCAAAATTAACGTGCGTCTTCAAAAACAGCTCTTCCTTTTTGCATTGACTGTGTGTGCAACATACTGGGCAGGAAAAATACTATTCTTTGAGATTTCCAACCTTTGATACACTATCTATATTCCCTCCGACAATGGGTGTCTCACTGTAACAGCACATTTCATATGCTGAGCTCATGATAATGGCAATAATAGAAATCTTTGGATACAGTCACTTTTGCGACTAGTTTTGTCAAACACCTGTGTAAATTATATATCTTAGCAATCAATTTAATTGGAATGATTAAATGAAGAACAAAATGCTTATGTTTAGAAAAACGCTGCATCCATACACAAGTACTGGCCTCTACACATGCAGAGTGGATTTTCAATAACACCAGCTTAAAGCAACGGCTGAGCCATTGCTGGCTGAGTATCCTCAAATTGTAACTCACAGGAGACTGCCCCTTCTTATTTATGCCAGAGTGTTTCAAAGGTGAAATCTTTCCTTTAACCCCCTAATCTATATTTTACTCTCATCGCATATTTCCCAGCTCCGGAAGATGAAGCCCTTCCCGTTTTCCGTGCGTGCCGAATCCACCGCGTGCCATGCCCGGCTCTTCCCTCTGGAGGGAGCCGGCTCTTCAGGCAGGGCCGGCCGGGGTGCGCGCACCTCCTTCCACCGCGGCCACTGGGCAGCGATACCTGGGGGGACCCTCCGGACAACTGGGGGTGTCCCTGCCCACACCGGCACTTCCACACAAACGGTCAGGCCAAAGCACCCGCGGTCTCAACACGCTACCGAATTTGGTTTCAATCTATCAGGAAACCGAACAGAGGGCAAAGCACAAAGAACGAACTCATGTATGTGCACACAAATACTCTTCTCCCACCTTCCAGCCCGGCCGTGTTCAACAGGCTCACGGCAGCTTTTTGAGCTCTTTAGGTAACGATGCTGAAACCTGCTTTGCAGGTACTGCTGTGTTTGCTCTTCCAGCTTTCTCCAGGCAGCAGGGCTCTGCTTCTACCCCCAGCCCAAACCTGTGGGTGCCTGACTTGTTTCTAGCAGCTACTGGGATCCCTTTACACAGGCAGAACAATTACACAGCACAGCTGAACCTGCTTTACTTATTTCGTACAGATCAAGGTACAACTGCTCTTTGGTGAGGGAATCTGGCATCACAGGCAGAAATCCACTTGCTGGAGAGGAGTGCTTGGCAGGAAAGAATAGTGCCCCAGCTGAGGTGGCCTTAAGCCACGTAGCCCCACTAGCCATGGCTCTGTGTAGAGATGCACTAGAAGCCCATAGCTCATGGGAGACACACAATGTCCCCCAGCAGCCTGCTGCATGCAGAACACCTTTCTATACCTGCTACAATCCTCGGGTCAATCTCCGCCCTGCAAGCCACTGTTACCCACACTGTAGCAGGAAGCCAAAGCAGTTGCTCCCCAGCCATGGCCATGTGTACATGTGCTTGACTGAAGAGATGCCAACAGCCCAGGATGCTGAGAGGCAGCTGCTGGGGACTGCCTGCACAGTTCTAGCCACAGAGTTATAGGGTCTCCCTGAAGAGAGAGAAAGACTAAAGAGAACATCTATGAAATGTGTAAAGAGTGTGCATGAACACTGCAAACGCACAGGAGTCTCATCCTGATGCTCCTATCCTACATTGAATGTAGTCAATTTCACTAGCAAGGACAGGATAAGATCAACTGCACAAAGCCATTTCTGAAAACTGGAGCTATCCCCAGTGTTTGGGTTAAGTGATTAAGCAAAGGCCACCCTTGTGGCCTGTGTGGAACAAGGAACTAATCCTGGATTTATCCACTGAGCTAGGTGATGTGGTTTTCAGACCTCAGAAGCAATCACTGAACTCAGCCTGCACCTCCTGAAAATAGAGCTAGATGGCTAATTCATTCTCTAGCCCTCTAGCTTGTAACCTCCACACTTGGGCCTGTTTTACAGCTTTTAAAGACACTTTGTTTGTAAGTGCTCTGTGGGACTTGAGGTAACCACAAATGGAAGTATCGCCTGGAAATGCAGCTGCCTTCTTTCCTAGTATGTGCCATGGACCTTGGTGACAGCATGGGCTGAATGAAGTTTAGCCAGACATGTAATCAAATCATACAAAGTCATTTGTCAAATCAATCTAAAATACACAGATAATGCATGGCCTATATGTGATATAACCTGACTAACAGGCTGACAGGTAATATGACATTAAAGTGTTACAAATTTTCTGTGATTTTCAAAAGGCTTCTACTAGTCATTCTGCAGTATTATGGGGTTTTGTTTATTTGAAGTAGATTTTTTTCTTGGGATAGAAAAATAACCCTTTTTGCTTTCCATATCTGTAACACTCCCATCCAGTGAGAGAGGCATTGTTATGGAAGGAGGGACACTAGTCAAAGCCCTGAAGAATCTTGATTTAAGGATTAAAACACAACATGAACTGGACTGCTAACATGCTTCAATGTGAACATGTCCAAGCACCTTGCATGCTGATGGACTAAATGCATGGTCAGAAATACCATTTCCATAGTTCAGACTGTAGGCTTGACACATCTGCATGGTCTTCTTCCCATTCAGCCTCAGGGCCTGCAGTGGTTCTTCAGCACAGAACACAGACTGGTGATCCTGAGGGCCCACTACCCACAGCCATAGCTTGAAGTTCTGTGATTTTCTCTTCTTCTAACAAATATAAAACTGAAATTCCTCAGTCAAGGCAAAGACCTCGAGCCACTTCCATTAAGGGCACAGTTTAGTCCTGGCACCTTGGGTCATTCTATGTGTGCTTAAAGAGAACAGGTGCTTAGCAATACAAACAGATCTGTTTTCACCTGGGAACCCCAACCTTGCAACCTGTTGTATTGTGATAGATTACCACAACCATGGGCACCTGCAGCAACCAGGGACAGAAGAGAAGGAGCAATCACCTACGGAAAGCCACTGTTTGCCCAGACTAAGAACTCTCCTTATTTAATTAACTGCATTTTGTAGGGGAGACAAACTGACAAACATATACAAATAATCAAACAAGAAATGAAGGAAAGAAAGAAGAGGAAAAATATTTATAAATGTCACTGTTCAATGTCTTTTCAATTAAAATGAAATAAGATTATCTACATATATCTACAAATATCTACACGTATCTACACTTTGCAGATATGATTCTTTGGTTGTCTTCACTTTTTTTCCTACACTGCAACTATTAAGAAAAAAAGGGTTTGTATAATCTTTGAAGGAAATAATAAATATAACAACTTCATTAAACGTTTGACCAAAGCTTTGGCACTAATCAGTTTACAGATAACAAATCATACTGAAAACTCTGAAATAACAGCGGCAAAGCAATAGCAATAGAGCACATCCGAGAGCCATTTCCCACTGACTAATAATAAGCACAAGGCTATTTTACATCAACCTTTCTGAGAACATTATGCTTTAGTCAGACACTAAGAATCTCACAATTCACTGCAAATGTCAAATAAAATACATATTTCTTGCACAAGTCTTTTTTTATGGATCCAGATATATTTTTTTAACAGAAAAAAATACATAAAATATTCATGGTAGGCTGTATCCCTTCTTAAACCTTTCCAAAAAGGTTTTGGAAGCCCAAAGCCCACTGCCAGAGACAAAATAAACATTGCTATTAACACTGCCACCTGCACAAGGGAAAGAACATGTTTTAAAGAATTTGTAATGAAAATGCACAAACATGGATGAATAGATGGCTTTAAAAGAAATAACCCCCATCTTTTAATGGAGTCATGTGGAAGAGTCAGGAAAGTGTTCATAATACTGTATACCAACACAGATGAGGAGCTGCTCAATACCTCCTCTGAACACAAAGGAACTGCCTTTGGTGAGTATCTGACAAAAACACAAGCCAACTGTTCAAAACACATCACTATAGCACTGTGATGAACAGGGCCATCTTTTTAGCAGTAAGGAACGACTACTGAATGAAGATACTAAAGGAAAAAGTACTTACCAGCATTAAGAGGAAAGATGCAGCAAGCAGGTAATGCAGAAAAGATGCTTTAGAACTACTGCAGTTTGGATCAGCCAAATATAAGGGGTGAACCAGTCTGAGAAAAAAAACCCTGAAGTCCCTTTAAAAGGCACCTCCATGGGAGAGTATTCAAGAGCTCAGGAAAGGATGCAGGAAGGCAGAACTGTGTGAGGCTGCCTGGGAAGCAGGTGGGAAACACACAGCCTGAAATCTGCAGATATTCCCCCACCCCCAGGCTGGTTTTTAAACCTTTGCAGGTATTGTTGGGAAAACAAGATGCAAACACAGCTGCATGTGCCTGTGCTCTTGGCCATAGGCCCTTCTCAATAGCTCCAGAAAATGCTGCTATGGTTGAGGCATCCCGGTGAACCCCAAAACTTACAAATGGGTCAGGGTCGGAGGAGAAGTGGGAAATTTGTTCTGGCAGTGAGGATTCAAAGCACTCCCTTAAACTAAACTCTGCTTCCTCAAGAATCTCCTCAAAGAACCACCTGAGCCACCTGTGAACCAGCCCCGGTGTGCCCCGGGTTGGGAAAGACCGACACCGACAAGTGCAGGACGACACACGGCTCACGGCCAGCCCCACAGCCCCTGCTCGGTGCTCACGTACAGGCCCCGTGGGCACCGGTAACACCAAACCTCCATCACGAGGCCCGAAGGGCGAATGAGAGGAGACATGTCACTTCACCGCTGCCGCCTCACCGTCCTCCCACCGCATCCCAGCCGCCCGACGGTCCTCGGTGCCCGGCACGAACGGAGGAATAGAGAGATAAGGACATATGGCTTCATTTATCAAAGTGCAGCCGCGGGTCACACCGCGATGGAGCTCCCGGCACCGCCGCCCTCACAGCCCCCACAGGGCGGGGCGCGGGGCGGGGCCCGGCTGCCGGCGATTGGGCTGTCTGGCTGTCGATCATGTCAAGCTGACCAATCAGCTCACGCGTAAGGCGGGAGGTGGGGGAAGGCGGGAAGGGGGAGGGCGGTGTCTCTCGTGCCGCCGGTACCCCGTTACCGGGGCCCGTAGTCGTAGGCAGCGGGTGCTCCGGCCGGCGAGTACATGTTGGCGGCCGCCGCCGCCGCAGCCGCCGCGTTCATGTGGTGGTGATGATGATGGTGGTAGCTGTGCCCGCGGATGCTGGGGAGGGGGTAGGGGGCGGGCCGGCTCTTCGCCCCCAGGTAGTGGTCGTAGGCGGCGGCCGCCGCCGGCGGGTACTTGTAGGGATGGTGGTGCAGCGGCTCCGACGCGGCGGGCTCCAGGCGCAGTTCGTGGTGCGGCGGGCTGGGCCGGCCGCCGCCCGCCCCGGCCAGCGGCACTAGCCCGCCGCCCCCGCCCGGCAGCGCCGGGCTGAGCACGCGGGACATGAGCTGCTGGTGCGCGGCCTCGGCCTGGTGCAGCGCCGTCCCGCCTGCCTCCCGCTCGAACTCCCGCCGGCTCTCGGCAGCATCTACGGGGGCAACAGAGTCAGTGCGGCCGGGCCGCGGGAGCGCATCCGCGCGCACGGGGAAGAGGCGCGCGAAGGGAAGAGCGCGGCTGCGAGCGGGGCGTGCAGGAGCGGCATGCGGCAGGAACGGGGCTGGCGGGACGGGACCTTCTGACTGCGATAAATGGAGTTGAGTTGACTGACAAGCTGGTACACGCCTGACATTTTTGCAATTGTGTAACACTAAACAAATACAGACTTCCCTTTATTTTGCAGGCCCGGTGTACGTTGGAAGAAAGGCCTTCGGTTGTCTTTGCAGTTGTTTGCTCTGGGTAATGGAAAAGCAGTCAATGGGCAGAGGTGCTGTTCGACCTGACTGCAGCTCCTGAATGGAGTGGGTTGGCCCTAAGCGCGCTGCCGAGGCGCATTAAAAGGGCAATGCGAGAAGGAACCTGTGGCCAGCACTGCATCTCTGCCTGAAAAACTGAGTTTGTTGCTAAAAAATCGAAAATGGGACTCTAAAGGCAAGGGGTAGTGTTTTTTAAAGCAGCAAATTTTCTTAAGCACACAACAACAGCAAATGTTGTAGTCCAAGGAAGAATTAATTAGGCTATGAAGGCAGGTATTTTTCTTTAAAAAATAAGCGGTAGCACAAACCTCATTAGCAATGGGGCTGTGCACCAGCTTGGTGGGCAAGGCTGGCCCCAAGCACGCATGCACGGGCTGTGCAGGCCAACAGGACCTGGGACATGGGCTGGCCTGGCCACTGGGGGCTCTCACCTTTCTCTGTCCCATTCTGGTGGGCTGGGGAAGAGACTGGATTCCGGGATCTGGCAAAAGCGCTCATGAGAGGAAGAGGCCCTGGCCTGTGGTTCCTGGGCCTGGAAGAGGAAGGGGAGAAGTGATACAGAGCTGATGGTCCCACAGAATAAGCAACTGAAGTATTGTCTCTGTGAGCTGCAGCTGGCAAATGGGGCCCAATACAGTGTTCCCCTCCACAAAACCCTTGTGCAAATGTAAGCTGGGCAGATGCACGTGAAAGAGGGTGAGTAGGGTATTGCCATAACCAATAAAGGCATAGCCTTACCAGTCCTCAGGGTCACAGTCTCTGAATCCTTTGGCAAAAGGGTTGCTTGCAATCTTCAACTGCGTGATCTGTAAGAAGAAGTGGCAAAATGTCTCAAAGCAGCACACAGGGCTCCCTGGCCAAACAGTGAGTGTGTCCCTGAGCAGGCTTTGGGATTCAGCAGTGCTTGGTGTAACAGAGAGGATCCAGGTGGCTGGTGGAGCCAGGGTGTTCTCTGCCACAGAGCACAAACATGTGCTTTCCCTCTGTTAGAAAATGTGGGCTAACATGCTACCTAATATGAGTTCAAGGTGAAGGGAGAGGCAGTCTGAGTCGGCTGCAAAAGCTGAGTAAATGCACTTGTAAGAAAATGCCACATTATATGGGTCACCACTGGAGCAGTTAAGACAAATCACTGGATAAATCATACTTATGTATTTATTTAATTCGCCAGGGAGAAGGCAGGACATTTTCTATATTTAAGCAAATCCACGGATAAAGTATGTGATTGTGAGTTTCCGGAATGGGTTGAAAAACAAACTTTAAGCCCCTCAGTGACAGTTCCAGCCTTAGAGGTCAAACTGATAGAAAGCAGGAGAGAAAGAGCAGCTGTCCGGAGCCATCAGGCAAATGCCAGCCGGGGAGGGACTCCAGAGCCCCTTAAAGGCACAGCCTTTCTCTCGCACCACCGGGGCGAGGTGCGGCCCGACCCCCCGCATCCCGGAGAGAACTCAGGTCAATTTGCTCGGAGCCACTGCAGAGGGTGACACTTGCACCGGTTGCTCAGGGACAGCCCCGGGACACAGCCCCGGCCTGTGCGGCATCGTCGCGGAGCGGGGCAGTTCGGAGCAGCGCTGCAAAGCCCCCGCTATGAAATCGTATTTCCACTCGCTGCTGGGATTCCTGCTCTTTACATTACACTGATGCGATTTAAAGGAGCAATTGGATTAACTGCTACCTAGAGATCTGCATTAGATTGGGGTGGGGGTGTTGTGTTTCGTTTTGTTTCGTTTTTAACGTATAATTGTATTCTGAGGAGAGACAGACCGCTACGAGCTTAAAACAGTAAAATCGCAGATTTATCCAAACAAATTGTGAGTGACATTTCGCAGCGGGAAGGCTGTAGTTTCCCCACTAGCCCCGGTCTCGGCTTTACATAGGTAATGAGGTCCCCCGGGCGGGGGGAAGCTGGCGATGGGGCTAGAGCCCACGTCGCTTCCTCGGCGTACACCGATGCAGTTCCGCGCAGCTCCCCGGCTATCGGGTTCCCAGCGCTGCCCGGAATGGGTTTAGCAGATGGGGTATTTTAGCAGATACCCCCAGCCATCCCCGCCGCCGCCGGACACCCGCAGCCCGGCCTCCAACCTCGGAGCCGGACGAAGGGGCTGAGCCAGAGCTGGATGCACCCGCAACCGTGATACCTCCGGGGCGACCCCAACCCCCGCTTGCTGCTGCCCCGAGCTCCGCTGCTGCCTCACCCGGTGGTTCTGGTAGGCGGTCACTGCCGTGAAGCGCGTCTCCTCGAAGACGAAAGTTTTGAAGTTCTCCTCCGCGTACTTCTCGCTGTCTTTCCGGGGGTCCACGTAGACCACGTGAAAACGCGGCTGGTATCTGTGCATGGAGTTCAAAATGATCTGAATGATAAAACGAGCAAGGAGACAATAACTGATCCAGGCGGAGCATGGAGAGAGGAGAGCGCAGCCCCGGCCCTGCCGGCTCCACTGCCCGGGACAGCCGCGGGGCTGGGGCAGAGCCCCTGGGGAGGGCGAGGGCAGGGTCACCCCACGGGAATCACAGCGCGGGGAGTTCCCACCCCGTGCAGCCCCGTGTTGGACATCTTTTCCCGGGAACACTTACATGCCCGTTGTCATCCAGCAAATTGTTGGTCAGTTTGAGCTTATCGAAGGAAACGATCTGCTTCATCCACTGCGCGCCTTTGGCCGGGGAGTCCGGGTGGTAATGCACTCTCCCGGGGGTGGCGGGGTCGGCTTTGCCAGCCACCAGCCAGGAGGAACTGTGGAAGGCGTACCTGCGGGAGGAAAAGGCATCCTCAGCCGCGGCCCGGGGGGCTCCCGCCCGCGTCCCTGCAGCGCCGCTCCGAACGACTGCAGCACCCGGTCCTGCAGAACCCGGCCCGGGACGGTCCCCCTGGCCCACCGAGGGGGAAGCACCGCCTCTCCATCACTCCCGCTTCCTACGGCCACGAGAGGAACGAGCTCTTTTCCACAGCCAGAATTGCTGCGGAGGGGTTATACTATTTTATCACGTCAGTGATGGAACTGTCGTGAGAGAAATCTGCAGGATGGAGGAAATTTCTAGCGACCCGTGTAGATATGGGAGAGAAGCCACAAAAGCCTCCCCCTTCCTCTGAAAAAAAGAGTGCAAAAAAGCTCTCTATACAGTAATATTCTCGCTTTAAGTAAAGAGTGGAAAGTTGTGTGTAGATTAATAGCAGGTTCAGAATTTAGCAGTCTTGTTTCATTCTTTCAAAGTACATATTCAACAGTAACATTTAAAACAGAGAAACCAATCTTCTATACACGTGTTTACTTTAAAAGCCAGTGTTTGCACAGGGGGAATTAGACACCATTGGACTTGAGCAGAAACATTACTTTTTAAAGATATACTCAATTGGATGTTATATATCCTACTTCCCTTGACAAGCAAACATTTCTAGGACGCCCTGAGAATTTGGATATCTGTCTAAATATTTATATATCGGACCCTGCGATTCCTATGCGGGCTGCCTGCTCGGCGTCTTGATCTGAAGCTAAATACATAATGCGCTTTTCACTGTCTTAAAATTAAAGGGGTTCCAAACCAGACCGCATCACTGCCTTGTGAGTCGGCAGTTTCCAAGGCCTTCCTAAACTGCCGCTGGAAACAAGGGCAGGGTTTTGTGGCTTGGGTGGCTGGTGCCTTTCCAGAGCACAAAACCCATTCTCTTCACCCAAGCACCCAGGAAGATCCCCAGCAGGCATGGCACAGCTTCGGGATATGCACTGAGGGGCTACAGCATTCAAGGAGCACCGAGGAGGATTTTTGTTAAGTGGCAAAGGGTGTTTGCCGGTGGAGACGTGTAGCAGTACGACAAGGAGAGCTTTTTTGGGCAGGACAAGGCAGCTCCTGCCCTGTGCCCTGTGGAAACCTGCCCTTCTGCCCATGCTGGTCTGGCCCCGGTCGCCTGTGAGTCTGTGAGTCTGGGGCTCCTGGCCCCAGACTCGTTGCAAGGGTGTGAAAGAGACCCCAGGTCAGCCGCATCCCGTGTCCCTTCCCTGTCTCGCACCGACAGGTGTCACGCCCAGGGGCACATCCCCGAACCCCCACAGGGCAGGAGCAGAGGGTGGGCAGCGACCCAGCAGCCCCTACGGCTCCAAGAACCGCGAGACAGACCAGGTATTTGTTACTTGCCGGTATCGCTTGTCATCCACTGGGACGAAATCCATGAGGAGCATGTAGTCAGCCATAGGGTCCATCCCAAATATCTTCACCTGGAAGGTGGGGAACATGCGCCTGGCACAGGGAGGAGAGAGAAGTGCTACGTTGAGGAGCAGCAGAGAGCCCCGAGGGGCCGGCATGGGTCTCTTGCCCTCCAGCTGCTCCGATACCCTCCCCGTTGTGATGATAAGTCCCCTCGAAGAAACTACTGGCCGGAGGAAGAGGCACGTATACCGAAGCTGCGTGGGGAGACTGGTTGCCGTGTTCCCCAGCCCTCGGCAGCATCCCGAAAGGCGAGCCAGAGGGTCCTGCCTCTCCCACTGGCTCCGGGACCATTCATGTCAGACACCCGAAATGCCCCACCGAGGTGGAACGGAGAGGACAGGGGGAACAAGAGCATCCTCGGCCTTTGCTATGGGGAAATAAAGTGAAAATCATTTATTCCCCGTGGTTTCCCCATCATTTTAGCTGACCTGACTGGAGGCAAATGCAAGGCATTACCCTGTCAGCGGACAGCACTCAAGCTCGGGAGTCTCAGGCAGCCCGTAGGGGTCAAATCTGAAAACTCCAGCCAACGACACGAGGTGATCGAGTTCTCACCTGTGCAGCTTCTGTACCCACCAAACTGCGCCCGTTGGAGAGCAGTGCTTACAACACAGCAACAGCCCCCAGGGCCAGCGGGAGACCTCTCCCAGCCCGAAGGGGCAAACGCTCCCCCTCGGCGGGCAAGGGTTGGAGGGCAACGGGGATGTCCCAGAAAGCCCCTTCCCGGATCCACTCCATCGCAAGAGCCCGGTCGGGCTACCGTTCCCCGCAGCTTTGCGGAACGAAAAGGGGAGCGGAAAGGAGCCCAGGGCTCCGGAGCTGGGCAGGCCAGCCCCCGCGGCTGCTCCCCCGGTTCTTCTCCGCGCAGGCCCCCGGGGACCCAAAGATAAGCCGAAACGTGGATCCCACCCTCAAGGGGGGCACGATTCTTACAGGGGGCTGCAGTACAAATGAGATCGGCGGTGGGCTAAGGGAAGGGGCCGGGACAGTCCACCCGTTCCTCCCTCCTGCATCTGCACACATGGGGACCAGGGCCTGGCCCGCAGCTCCCCGGCGGGACACGCCAAAGATGTGCCCTGGCGTCGGGGCTCGTTATGGCTTCGTTTTGTTTTACAGAATAGTAAAGCAAGCGAGCGACTGTAGGCAATTATTTCGGGAAGGGTGTTTGCAGCCGTTGAAAAACCAAAGCCCCAACAGCCCCCTGAACAAACAGCCCGATCAAACCGGACGCAGAGAGCCCCCCCCCACCCCCGGCTCGTTCTCGGGGCACACTGCCGGACCTGTCGTTATTGCCCCTTCCCCCCTCTGAGGGGCGGTGGGTCAGCGCCCCTCTGGCTCCGCAGCTCTTCCACATCGGGCCCAGCACTGCCGGGCTGCACCGGGATCGGGCAGCTGCGTCTCCCTCTCCGTAAGGCTTCAGCAAAATCTGGAGGACGTTTTCAGTCGCTCCCTCTGTTATTATTAATTTTAAACGTGTAAAATCCCCCATTAGCTCCAATTCCGGTGTTTCTTGTTCTAAAACTTAGTTTTAAAACAAACAACCTGAGATGATAAGACCCATCTAGACAAACAGCAGGGCCAGCTCAGAGGCGCTGGAAGAGAATAGGCTTTGCAGCGCCTTCCCGGAGCCTTTTCCTGCTGGTTGTACCCCGTTTTCTCCTGTTTTTACTCGCTTGTCTGGAGTTTCGACGGTGTCAGAAAGTAAACGAAGAAAAGGGTGGGAGGAAACCCCCCGATTCAATTCGAATTGGTTCATTTCCGAAACCTTTTGAAATGGGATATTTGCAATCCTTTCGCTCTTCTTGGAGAGCTAAGAAAGCCAGATCGAAGAACTCCTGTTTGCAGAGAGCCTCCGCCTGGAGCCTGAACGACCTTTTCCGCTAAGGAAAGCAACACCGAGCCCGGCGCCGGGCTCAGGGGCCGCGGCCGGAGACAGCGGGCTGTGCGACCCGGCGCCGGGGCAGGCACCGTCTGCGGGAAATTCCGCCCGGGTCCCGCAACGCAGCGCCGGCTGCTTTTGCACCGGGCACCACGGTGATTGTTTTATTTTAGGAAATTGCTAATATAAAAAAAACCAACAATTTAAAATGCCACTGCATATATATGTACATATAAGTATGTTTCTTCTTTTTTTTTTGCACTTTCGGGACCCTCAAAATCGCTGACGGGGGAGCGGCGGGAGCGCACGGCCGCGGTCACAGCTCTTTCCAGACCGCTCGGAGTGGAGTCCGACCCTCTCCCCCGGCCGGCCATCCCGCCGCAGTTAGCCCCGGGGCGAACTGAGAGCAAGCAACGGGGGATTCCTTAATTTGTTTGTTTTTCTTTTCTCCCCCCCGCCGGATCGCTTTAAACCGAGGGAAGACTCAGAGCCTGGACAATTCGCAGCTCTGCCGGAGCCTGGCGGGGAAAGCCTCGTAGCTCTGCCCGAGCCGCCGCGGCCGCGGCGCTTCCCGGGGATCTCCACTAAATGCAGTAACTAACAACTAACTGAATTGGGACTGCTCTTTCCCCCATATGTTTTGCTCGTTCCTAACACGATCGCATCAGCCGCTTTCTTTGTTCCCTGCTCAGGAGCGGGGTCCTGGCCCCGGAATCGCGCCGCGGCGGCCGGAGCAGAGCTGAGAGGAGCCGCGTTCAGCCGGGCTCGTTACTCGATAATTGAGAAATGCAACAGCCCTGGAACACGTTTCAAGGTGCAGAATTAGGGTCTGTTCGCGTCTCCGCAGGAAGGAAAACATCTGCCCGTGCTAAGAATGTATTTAGCAGGTTTTGCACGGTTTGCGTGTTGTTTTCTTCCTTCCCCCGTATCGTTGCTGTCCGCCCCGGGAACACCGTCCTCCGTAAACACGGATCAAAGTCCCGTGTGGGGTCACAGCCGAAGGCGCCCGGAGGAACACAGCGCCCTTTTAAGCGGGAGTGAAACCCGGTGCCCTGCCTGCCGTCCTCCGCACGCCTTCGCCGTCAGCCCGCAGCAGCAGCCGCGCGTTCTTCCGCAGCACCGAGGCCTTCGGGCCGCAAGAGCTCGCAGATTTCGCCCCAGGAGAAGCGCAAGGATCAAATGACGGGGACCGCTGAGCCGGGCCGCTCCGCGACTCGCCCTTGGGCAGCAGCTTCAATCTCCCCCCCAAGTGCGAATTCAACCACTCGCACCGAACTTTCCCACCCCGACTGGCCTGGGTGTCCAGGTCCGGAGGGAGCGGCTGGAGAGCCGGGGCCGCTCGGGAGCTCCGCACTGACCTGCCTGCCTTGGTGACGATCATCTCGGTGCCCAGCTGGTTGAACTCGTCCCACAACGCCTTCATCTCTAGTTGGACGCTCACGTTGGCCACCTTCGGGTTCTTCTTCACCGGCGCCTTGGCCGCGGTGGCCGCCCCCGCAGGGCAGCCCGAGACTGCGGCCGGCCCCGCAGCGGCTCCACCGGCGCCCTCGGGCTGCTCGGGGCCTGCGGGCGGCGGGTTGGTCCCGGCCGCCGCCGCCGCCGCCCCGCCGAAAGGGTAGCCGTGCTGGGGCTGGGGCGGCGGGTGCGGGTGCTGCTGAGCCGTGCAGGGCTCGTAGTGCGGCGGTTCATGCTGTCCGTACGGGTCCCCCGGGGAGGGGGAGAGGTGGTACCCCCCGGAGGCGTTCAGGCTGCTCAGGCTGTTGGCCGTGAAAGCTGCAACATCGCAAAAATGGGACAGCTGGGTGAGCCAGGGGCTGGAGATAGCTGAAATCATTCCAAAAACAAGCGGTCAGGGCTCCGCTCCGGCTCCTGCTTTCCCCCCAGCTCCGCGCCGCTCCGCGCGGCCCCCGCCTCCGCACCGGCTCCGCGGGGTGCCCTCCGCCTCCTCTCCTGCCCCGCGCCCAGCCCAGCGGGGCGCCTCCCCCTTTCCGCTTTGCTTGGCCCCAGCCCCGCTCCCCCCGGGGCAGGCGGGGAGCTCGCTGCTCCCGCTGCCTGCCTGCCTAGGCTCCTTTTTTTTTTTTCCCTTTCTTTTTTTTCTTCTATTTTTTTTTTCTTTTGCAAACCCGAGAGGTCTGCCAAGAGCTTCGGCGGTGCAAAGCCCGTGCTATCTCTGCAGGCCTCCTTCGCCACACACCACTTGGGACAAAGCAAATTCTCTCCTTTCGCCCCCACTTCAAATAAAAAGGGGGAAAAAATAGAGGAGTGGGGAAACTCAGAGAAAGAAATCGGCTCTTATTTCCGTGTAGCTACGCTGCTGCAGGTAACGTCCTTCTCTCTGCAGCCGCGGAGCCGCGGGGCTGCGGCTGACAGGGGAAGTCGGATCTGGTTTGGCAATGCCCCATTCCTTCCATCCCCGGACGAGAAAGAGGAAGAGGCCGGGACCAGAGCAAAGCTCCGGCTCCGCGCCGAGGAGCACCGGGACGAACCCGGCTGCGCAGCGCTCGGCCGCCGGCCCGAGAGGGCCCTGCGGCGCATGACAGGCCGCTCCTTCCGATCCCCTCCGATGCTGAAAGGCTTCTCGAGGTCCCGGGGGTCTCTAGCGTTACTTCTGACGCAGCCCCCAGGCCAGACAGGGGCTGCAGAGCCGGTGGGACTCGAGCCCCGGCCTGCCGGTGCCTCAGGCACGGCCGGCGCTGTCGGGGGATGCTTTCAGCACCTCTGAGAACAAGCGAGTCCCAGCGGCAGAGCCGTCGAAAGCCACAGAGCCACGGGCAATGCCTTTCTCTAAGGGTTACAGGGGCCCAGACGTGCCGGGAGGAACGGCAAAGCCTCCTCCGACCGGCTCCGCGGGCAGGCCGCGTTCTGTGCGCTGCCCCTGGCCCGGCCGCCGGCACGGGCCGCGTGAAAGCCCTCGGATACGCGGTGCCCAGTGGTCCCGTCCCCGCAGCCCTGCGGGGCCGAGCGCGGCACTCACCTTCCATGTCCCTGGTGACGGTGCTGAAGTGCATCTTCTGAGGGTGGCAGCCGGGGCGGGCGGGCGCGCTGCGGCCGCCGCGGCGCTCCTCCAGCTCTCCTTTCCCTGCTTGCTCGGCGGCGGCGACTGAAATCAGAGAGGCGATACTGAAAGCATTTGCCTTGGGAGACAGAGGGCTGTTTTCGTCCATAGGGGAGACACCAATGCAGGAGCAGCAGGCGCGGCAGCCTCCCACCACGAGCCCCCCCCCCCCACCTCCTAACTCCCCTCCTTTCTACCGCACCATCCAGGGAGGTGCGAACGAGACCCCCTCCTTCCAGACGGGGGGGGGAGGGGTGGGGAAGGGAAACTTAAAAAAAATAAATAAATAAAGCCAACAGAAAACAACCTAAACGCTCTGCCCCCCCCCCCCCCCCCCCCCGGGAAGGGCGCTGGGGAGCAAGAAACTTCCCCGGGTCCCTTTGTAGCTAGCGCCGAGCACCGCAACGGCGCACCGAGCTCTGTCAGCGAGACGGGACCGGGGGGCAACGAATAAATAATTCCACGAATTTCTTTCCCGGGGTGTCCATTTCTCACCACCCCCCTCCAATTCGTTCCCTGCGATTTATTAATTTATTTTCTGTCCTCCCTTCCCCTCAACCACCACCTCCTGCTTCTGCCCCCCTCGTCCCCTCCTTTTCTCCTGCACGAAGGGAAAGTGTCTCCCTTATAGGCGCTTTCCCCATTCAGTGGCTGGGAGGCGTCACATGGAAGCCGGGGTGTTTGCCTGCAGAAGTGGCGGCGACGGCGGCGAAAGCGAAGTGAAACTCCTGCCGAGACGGTGTCAAAGGGCTGGGGAGGCCCTTCCCCGCCTCCCGGGCACGGCGAGCGGCCGCCGGGGAGGGATGGGATGTGCTGCGGGGCGGGCGGAGGGGCCGGCGGTGTCAATCACGGCTCCGGGAGCCGGCCGACGGGAAGGGAAGAGCCGAGCCCAGCCGAGGCGAGCCCGGCGTCACGCTGCGGATGTCCGGCACTGAGAGAAGGGACAGCTCTTTTCCTCCAGCTCGCATGCACCGCGGGGCTGGGGGCGACCCTCTGGACTCGGTGGCCGCGGGGACCCGCAGTCTGGGCCGCCGCAACAGGAGGGGTCTGGGTACGTCAGGGTGAGCAGCGGGTGCAGGTACTGCCGGCCGCTTCGCTCGGATGGGACCCCCTAGCCCTGGGCCACCAAACTCCCAAAGCGCCCGCCAGAGTTCCACCATTTCCTTCGCCAAAAAAAAAAAAAAAAAAAAAAAAAAAAAAAAAAAAAAAAAAGAAAAAGAAAACGGAAAGCAACGAACGAGGCGGCAGGCGAGCTCCTGCCCAGCCCAGCTTGTGAGCCCGCTTCGTCGGCAGCACCTGCACGGCCCCGTCTGGGCCGGGAGCCGCGCGCGCGGTTCCCGTCCCTGCCCCGGCGAGGACGAGGCGCTACTCACCGCCCGCTCCCGGCCCCTCGGAGCGCCGCGGCGTTCCCCGGGCCCTTTCGCATCGGCGCGGGGCAAGGCGACGCGCCCGCCCCGCCGGCTCCGGGCCAGCCCGGGTACCAGTACCAGTCTCGGTCCGCGCCCTGATGCCGGTCCCTCCGGGCGGGTAGCTGCACCGAGGTCCCGGGGAATTGCCCCGACGGGGCGGGCGGAGCTGTGGGGCGCGCCGGTGGCTACCGTCGCGGTGGGGGTTGCATAACCCGAGCGATGCGCGGAGAGCCGGAGTGAGCAAGCGGGTTATATATAGCTGCCCTGTCTGTAGCCTGCGGGGCTTGATTCTTCTGTTGAAATATTATCTTTGGATGTGGTAAAAATATTTGCAGAGAAAAATCTAGACTACTCTTACATATTTGAGCATATGTTCCTGCAGCTAACGGCATAAGGGCAGAGCGTGACATGATCGGTGTTTTGTTTCTTTGCTGCTGCTGCTGGCAGCGCGGTTCCTGACCGGGGCAGCTTGCGTCGCGAGCTCAGGGACACGTCACGGAGAAGACAGTCCCGATACTGACCCGCGCTGCTCACCTGGCGGCAATACAAGAAGGAGAGGAAAGGATTTCGTTTGGGTACCCCGGGGCAATATCGGAGGAAAGCGAGGAGCCGCGGGTGCGAACTCCAAGCCGCCTCCGGGAACTCAAGGGCTGATGCGAGCGGGACGCCGATGCCCCTTCCCGAGGTATGCTTGGCTTTGGACAGCCTCTGCTCCAGACGGAAAGAAAATATTCTCCCTGAAAATTAAGAAAAAAACCGAAACCCCAGCAGAGTTTGGGGTTGTAGTCCCTGCCTTAATTGCTCGCACCGTTTCCCAGGTTTATTATTTTCTCCTTTCCTGCTCCTTACATAAAGCTCCAGCTGTAAGCGACGCCACGTCGGGGATAGCCCGGGCGTGGACCGGTCCCTTGGCCTGTTCACCCGGCCGGCGGAGTCGGGGTTGAGCGGTGTCTACCAGGAACAGAGGACCCGCCGGGAATCGTTGTCACCTGGGCGGCAGCGGAGCGGGTCCTCGCCAAATGGCGGGGCTGAAGTCTCGAAACCCCAAATCCCTGAGGGCAGACCCCGCAGCCCCGCTCCCACATCCCCTGCCTAGCCTCGCAGACACGCGGGGTTCCCACACGCTGGGCGGAGCTGAGACAATGGAAGGGGAAACTAACCCTGTCTGCCCTGCAACAGGGACCCCGCAGGAACAGAACCCACCCTGTTCTGGAGGGAGAAGGTGGCACGGCGCTATGCAGCAAGCGGAGTCGACCCCTTTCTTGCACCCCGAAAAGGGCCCAGAGGTCGCGTTTGACAGAAGTCCCGAGGACGCATGAACCCGTTCCTCGACCGCTCCGCATCGGCGGAGCGCTGCAAAGCGCATCCAGTCTCGACGCGGGACTGCCAACCTCACCGTTAGCTATTGCTGGTGTGCCCCTGGCTCTGCATTCGTCCAGAGGACGGGTGTGTTTGTTAGGATCGAGCCCAGGGGTTCTGCTCCCCGCAGCTCACACCTCGCCTGAGCAGGTGGGAGGAGAGGATGAGGTTGTCCCGCCGCCTCTCCTCCGGAACGGCTCCGCGGTGAGAAAACGCCAAGAGCTCGATGCGGAAGAAGGGCTGGGACACCTCTCCCCCTTTTTCCTCGTCCTCCGTGGACACACATCTGCTTCGTCCCGAAAATATGCAGCCCGATGGCTCAAAAGCCTGTGTTGGCACCGAGGAATAAAACGCGTGGCAACGACTCGCTCATTCCCCACGACGGCAAGCCCCAAGTCTCGGGGTGTCCCCCGAAGCCAAGCATCGCCGTGTCCCTGCCGCTCCACCACCTTTCCCGAACCCCCCGCAATAAACATCCGCTGGAACCCCCTCCCCCGTTTGGGCCCCACACCCCATCATCCCCCAGACCTTTCAGGCGAGGCGGAGGCGGACACCAGTGGCTGCTGCCTTCGTCCTCCCTCGCAGGGGACTCCCTGCCGGCATCGTTCTCCACGGGCCGGGCTAGGTGTCCCTCGTCAGGGACACTCACACCGAGCCATGGCCCTGCTGCTGCAGAGGTGCCCGGGTCCCCCAAGCCGGGTTCCCCCGCGCACCCCGAGCCCAGGCTGTGATACAGGAGCGTCGCAGCCGCGATGGGCTCTCCCCGCGTCCCCGGGGCCTGGCTCGGACACAGCCCCGCTGTGCCGCCTTCCCTCCGTCCGCCCTCCACACTCACCCCTCCGCCCGCACCTCTCCACTCGTCCCTCCCGCGATCCCTCCTTTCTGCCCGCTGCCCCGGCCCTTGCCCGGCCCCGCCGTCCCTCCCGCCCCCAACTCTGCACCCCGGCTGGCCCCCGGCGAGCCCGGGCTTTTGGAAAGGTGGGGGGGGGGGGGAAGAGAAGAGACAACGCAAAGACAGCCAAACCGATAAAGACGAACGAACGAAAAACCAGGCAGGGAGAGCCCGAGCTCCTCTGCAGCCGCTTTGCCCACCGGAGCGGTTTGGGCTGGGGGCATTGGCACCCACGGCCCGGCGCTGTTGCCGTCCCTGCGCGGGGCCCCGCGGGGTCCGCCGGGGTTCACTGCCCCTCTGCAGCTCGCTGGTTTCTCCGGGCCGCCGGATGCCGAGCGGGGATTTCACCCGCCTGGCCCGTCCGGCGGCAGCGCGGCAGGTGCGCGGCCCCGCGCAGCGCGGCTCGGCCCCGGCGGCGGCAGGCGCGGGCGGCACCGGGCACCTGAGACCGCAGGGCAGCGGCGTCTGCACGGGCCGCCGCCGGGGGCCGCGGCTCTGCACAGCAACCGTGCTGTGCTCCGCCGGTGGGCGTGTGAGAGAGAAGAGAAGAGAAGAGAAGAGAAGAGAAGAGAAGAGAAGAGAAGAGAAGAGAAGAGAAGAGAAGAGAAGAGAAGAGGAGAAGGAACAATGAGAAAGAGGAAAAGAAAAGAAAAGAAAAGAAAAGAAAAGAAAAGAAAAGAAAAGAGAAAATATCCAAATGGAATAATTGTTTTATAACCAGCTCAATCCTCATGAACAACAGTGGTTTTCATGCTAATAGACAGTGATGTGTCAGTGAAAACTGGGACTTGTGGGACCCCATGGGCTGCCTGACTGATGGGCATGGCAGGGAGTCAGTGGGGCTCCATAGAGTCCAGGGGGACAGGACTGGGCTCCCGTGTCTCTCACTCTCCCCACATCTCCCACTGGCTCCTGCTTGCCAGCCTTGGCTCCATGTTATTTGCCATGGGGATTTCAGGCTGCTTTTACAGGGTCACTTGCCTGCAGATCCCAATGTAGAGATCACGCACAGGGAAATTCTCAGAAATAAAACTGTCAGCCACTCTCTCCCAGCACACAGCCGGTGGAGTTTCTCCCTTTCCCCTCTTTTTTCTTTCACTTCCCCCCTGCCTCACCCCCAGGCCCCCACCCTGACAACTGCTCGTGCTTCTCCAGTGAGATATCCATGCTCTCCTGCAGTGCAGCTGCCCTGTGTGGTCCACGGTTTGGGGCTATAAAGTTTGGGACCCTCGCCCAGTACCAGAATGCAGAGCTCCCTTGAGAGCTCCCGGGGTGGCCAGGACAAGGGGACCTGACAGTTGGGGTCATTGCCTGGAGCTGTGCCAGAAGCAACCCTTGCTTGTCTGGTTTTGAGTGCACCAGGAGCTACCTCTAAAACCAGTCACTCTCTGTCACTCCTGTCCTCATTTATTGTTCATTAATGCTGTCAAAAAGCTCTGTACGGGGATGCTACTGTGCTGCCTGGGGCTGACACACACATCTGCTG